ATACCATTTGACCCAGCCATCACATTACTGGGGATATACCCAAAGGATTATAAATCATGCTGCTATAAAGACACATACACACGTATGTTTATTGCAGCACTATTCACAATAGCAAAGACGTGGAATCAACCCAAATGTCCATCAGTGACGGACTGGATTAAGAAAATGTGGCACATATACACCATGGAATACTACGCAGCCATAAAAAAGGATGAGCTTGTGTCCTTTGTAGCGACATGGATGCAGCTGGAAACCATGATTCTCAGCAAACTATCGCAAGAACAGAAAACCAAATACTGCATGTTCTCACTCATAGGTGGGAACTGAACAATGAGATTGCTTGGACACAGGAAGGGGAACATCACACACCAGGGCCTATTATGGGGATGGGGTAGGGGGAGGGATAGCATTAGGAGATATACCTAATGTAAATGACGAATTAATGGGTGCAGCACACCAACATGGCACATGTATACATATCTAACAAACCTGCATGTTGTGCATATGTACCCTAGAACTTAAAGTATGAAAAAAAACAAAAGATCCAAAGTCTTACTTTTATAGATATAGAGATTATAATAAAATTTATATGGGAAGGCAGAGGAACTATAATAGTTAAAACAATTTTGTAAAGAAGAATACAATGAAAGGCATCCATTTACCTGATTTCAAGACTTACAGTAATCTACACAATGTAGTACCGGCAGAGGAACAGATAAATGGAACAATGGACAGAACAGTGAGCCCAGAAATAGACCCACACAAATATGCTCCATTTTTGCAAAGGTGCAGGAGGAATTCAGTGGAGGAAGGATAGCCTTTTCAACCACTGGTGCCTGAGTAATTGAATATGTACAGGCAAAAAAAAAAAAAAAGACCCTTGACCTAAATGTCATACCATATACAAAAATTAACTCAAAATACATCATACACTTACATGTAAAACATTAAACTATAAACTTTTAAGAAAATAACACAGGAAAAAAATATATGGTCTCTACATCGAGACAAAGAATTCTTAGACTTGACAACAAAAACACAATTCATTGTGTGAAATATTGATAAACTGTACTTCATCATGATTAAGACCTTCTGCTCTGTGAAAGACCATTTTGGGAGTACGAGGGGATGGGCTACAGACTGGGAAAGAATATTTGCAGGCAATGTGTTTGATGAAGGATTAGTATCTAAATTACGTAAAGAACTTCAGGCTCAAGAGTCAAAAAAACAATCCAATCAGAAAATGAGCTAAAGGCACAAAAAGATTTTCAACGTCATTAGTCATTGGGGAAATGCAGATTAAAACCACAATGAAGTATCACTATACATCTGTCAGAATGGTTAAAATAAAAATGGTGATAACACCAAATCCTAAAAAGGACGCAGAGGAACTAGACCATTAATATATTGCTGGTAAAATATAAAATGATACAGTCACTCTGGAAAAGAGTTTGGTAGTTCCTTAAAA